TTTTGACCCCAGGGCTTTTATAAGAACAAACTTGGTAGACACTCACTAGAAGATGTTTCATGCCAAATATCTAAGCTCTAGCTCTTAGGGTATTTTAGAAGAAGATATTTAAAGTTTTTTCTTTCGGTTGCCATGGCAACCAGAGTTCTGCATGGAATTAAAATCTTTGAACTATTTTTAAAGGTGACCACCAAAAGAACATTCCTGTGAAGTTTGGATGAAATTGGCTTTGTGGTTTATGAGGAGATGTCATTTAAAGTATTAAAGTTTACGGACGCCGGATGAAAAGCGATCACAAAAGCTCACCCTATCACTTTGTGACAGGTTAGCTAAAAAACATCCTGGTGCCAATATTTTATCAAAATACTGTTCAGGACAGACCAAACATTAATAAAAATAGGTTTTTAAAGGCTTTTCGGAGTAAAACTAAAAATGAAAATTTCCGTCGTATGCAATGGCAAATTTGATAAGCCATATAAAAGCTATTTATAAATTATACAATAAAACAGATATGTATTTTTGTAGATGTTGAATATCATGTGATATGTACTGAAAGATTATATTAATTTTTTGAGTACATATCACATCATATTCAACAGCTAAAAAGTCCATATTTGTATAATATTTAATTATTGTCTATATACATGCATTTGACTTTATTTTTTATAAGACATTGTAACAGTACAACTTTTTAATTGACCTTTTTTGTATGAGGGGGGGAAACTCTTAATTAACTCCTCACCAGTGAGTTTTATTTTGCATGAAAGGATTTTAATAAAGATAATTAAAATGTCACACAAATAATAATACAGACATTTTCCGAAATATTTATGGATTGTCAAAAAACTATATGGGATGGCGAGTAAATATTATGTGACATTTTATCATATTGAGTGAAAAGATATACCATATTTCACGAAAAACGAAAAAATAACCTTTTTATTTAATTTCATTATCAAAGAAAAAATGGTTACGAACACCCTTGTATTTGTCCAGCGCGCAGTAATATAATCATTGTCTTGTTTTGCACGCGATATTTAGCGCTACATTGTGACGTCACATAAACAACTCTTTAAACTCTTTAAACGTCTGTACAGCGTTAATGACTGAATTAAAGATATTGGTGTTCGGATTTATTTTCTTAGTTAGACCATTTTCTATTATTCTAGATAGTTTTCAAAACAAAATTCAACAAAAAGTTGTTTTGTATTTATCAGATTTTTCAAACAAAATTGCAAAAGTAGTCCTGTAAAATTAATATTAGTTTTGACTCCGCCCACTTTCATATTTATATTTCACCTTTAATTTTAAAAAATATGAAATATGTCTGACTGATATAGCAACATATTTCATGAGTAAATTTAAATAATTAGTCATATTTAAATAAATTATTATAATTTATTACTTAAAAATAATATTTGCTACTATGCGTTAATATTTTTACATGTTATTTTACATACAAACTTTAAAAATTTAATTCACCATAAATTTGTCTTAATTTGTAGTGCTATTGATGATATATAAGATGACATAACTACACAAACTCAAACTCCCACACAAGAAAATTTTCCTTATTTACAAAATTCACATAGTCATATTAATTAAGAGCAATCTTTCATTGAATAAATAAAGAAAATTCCATCAAATTTCATTGGAAATTAAAAAAGATATGGCCATGTTCCTATGATATATAAAACTAATAATGAAGATACTAAATTTCAGATAATGGCTATGCATAGTACAAGGGAAGTAACTCAAAAATGGACTAAAGAGGCAAATTGAATTTACTTTAAAAAAATAGCTCTATAAACATAAAATGGTTCCAATAAGACTAATTTTGAGTATAAGTTAGCTTGTTTTAAATAAGCTTAACAAAATATTTGATAATAAGATGTAAAATAATAAGATTTATAGCTATTAAAGGAATATTACTGGTAATAGTATGAGTTGTCTTCCCCCCCACTTAAATATTTGTGGTTTGATTGATACCACTCTGTAAACCTACTCAAATTTAGATACTTAGGAACATATAGAATGTATTACAATTGATTTATAATGTTAATAAGTTGTAAAATGTCCTCAAATGACTATAATAAAGGAATTTCTATATATAAAACACCAATTATAATCTGTCAGAAGGGAAACTTACACGTAATATGAAAAGTACTGTACTGAATAAATTATTTACTATCCTGGGTGCCAGACCCTAGTTTAAATGTTAAGTATCTAATTATAACCTTAATTTTTTAACTAAAAAAAATATTTTTTTCACGTTGTCAGTCACATATGTTAAAAGACCTACATAACATATGATATTACAATTTACCCCAAAATAATAATGGAAATGATTTTTATGGTAAGGCGGGGGTACAAAGACATCCTATGCTGTCCTTCAGGTCCATTTCATCAGGAGTCGGACGGAAAAAGACTGTCTTGGGCACCCTGGCGGCGCCCTGTTTTATCAGGGAGGGGTATACTAGTATCCTACGTTACCGGGGAGGGGCTCTGGTTGACTCCAGGTTCCCTTGCCTATCCAGCAAATTTTGATAAAAACAGGTTTGGGGCATGTTGAGCTGAGCGTGTGGACTGGCCAAACATCAGGAAAAGACCTGTTCCCAGGCTGTTTAATTCGTAAACCAATATATACCCTTATAATTTCAATTTTTAAAAAATTACAACAAAAAAACTTATGGTCATTTTCCTCCCTCCGGTGAGCATCTCCTCCATGCAAAATATTAGATCTATAATATGTATTGCTCAACTTTTCTTATTTAAAACTATTTGTTTTGATATTATTTAACTGTCCATGGGAGTTTAAGCTACATATATATAGTAGCTATGTTTATTTTTTCGATTACAAAATGTACCTGCCAAGGGGTGTTGCCAGTATAACTCTGTTGTTCTTTTTGTAATATTAATTAAGAGCTCCATCATATATAAATTTTTAATAGTTGTAATAGTGTACAGTTCAGATACTTTTTATTGTAAATAATTGAGTGTTTCTTTTATTACAGGTAATTAAATTTTAAAAAGTGATACATATCTTCTTAAATACTGACTGTACACTATCACCAAGTTTTATTGTCCCTGGTACATGATCATTCAAAATTGGGTTGTGGCTACATGAGACCTACAATGTATATAAAGACTCCATTTTTCATCTTTTATCTATATTTTTATCCCTTGTTAACAGCTGGTCTGTTTGTAAATAAACAAACTATCTATTTTTCATTCTTTCTTATATAGGGTACAATCTATAACATACTGTGTTGATATTGAGCCCGTTTAAATAATATGGAGCAAAGGCTATATGGGGCTCAATCAAGTATGAATTCCTCTTTTATTTGTTATCAAGAGGACTTCATCACATTAAGGCTGTCTATTTCGATAGTAAAAATCAAGCATTATATATATTCTTTAAGATTATGTATATGTTGAAAAATGCATTTCTTTTTCCTTTTAGACAACCTTAATGTTAGCAAAGACTCCATATTAGATTGTACACATACCTATATACACAAATATATGTATTAAACAGTTCACACTGTTACCTACTCAATGATAAAAATGGAGCACATGTTAATTCATTGAGTAGGGCAAGTATGAGCTAGCTTTTTTCTTCTTTAAAAAGCTGTACTCATCACATTGTAGATAACCAAGTAATTTATTATTAGCCCTTTTAGGGTTGTTTTTGTGTTGATTGTGTACAATTGACACAAAGGTATAACTACCCATCTACAGGCAAACAATTGCAATTCCAAACAATCGCAACTCTGCCTATCAATTTCACGAGATACGGTATTTATGGCACTGCACTAACTGAACTATTTCTTATTGCAAACCGAATTTCGTTGACAAAAAAAATAGTTCCGTATGTTCGGCAACAAATTAGAAAATCAATTCATGCATTATATAGAAAGGGTTGTCATACATTTATAATTGTATTACATTATCGAAAATTAAATTACAATTTGGTTTAAATTTGTACTGTACGCAGAAATTATATATATGCGCGAGTGAATCACGTGACTGGCTCTTCACTCTTCAGTGACGCCATTTTTATTCAACAGCCAGATTGAAACGTAGTTTTAAATTTTAATAGAGGAATTGTGACTTTGTAAGTTTGTAAAAACTATGATATCAATGTATGTAATATGTAAGTACAAAGAGGTATAAGATAAGTGTCTACTCGGCCCTAAACCAACGAATCCGGGTCAGCTCGCCACTAAAACGTACTCGGCCCCCGAGTCAGCTCGGCCCTATACCAACTCGGCATGGGTCAACTGGGGCCACTTTTCAATTATTAATATTTAGGTTTGTACAGCGGTGACCAGTTTGGCCTTTAATAGACGCCGTTGTTACTATTTTTAACATTATAAAGGAGACAGTGCAGAAATGTCAATACACAGACCACGTGGTTTAGATCGCTGAGAGTAAATGCGCCAATGAAATCTGTTTGATAACGACCAATAATATCTCTTCATTTCTTCCAAATTAGCCATACAAACTGCATAATTTTTCGGCCAATCAAAATTCACCTTTTAAACGTGGTTCGGCGTTATCTGTCAAAATTCGTTTCTGCATTGCTCTCTCTAATAAAAAAGAAGTTATACTATATGATGGCCGTAACTATGTTCTCAGGCGTGTTACTAAGGTTTATACAAATAAACCTTTTCATGTGTGAAATAAAGATTGAAAACAAAGAATTAAAAGTGTTTTACTGCGTTGGCATGCTATAGGAAGGCGTACGCGTATAAGCATCTTCCCCCCTCTAATACTAGGATATTATGTGCTTGAACAAGATATTTTTGTGTATTGAACATTATCTTCGGACTTGCGAACTAAACCATTTGTACAGCATTGACAGAAACATAGTTTGTTATTGTTAAATGCAGTTAAAAAGTTACAAATTCGAATAAATTAGGAGAAAACTCGACCAGAACAGTCACATGTCAAATTTAAAAATATCTACATGATCAGTTTATATCTTCAATAACTTCGTCAAAACAAAATCTAGGATGCTGAAACCTTTAACCGAGTGTGGCATATATATTGCATTATGGAAAAGACATACTAATGAACTTCAAAATAACAAAGAACCCGACTTGCCTGGCAAAAATTTGTTCACCCGTTTCAAAAAATCACGCCTTGTTCGCCATTTTGTCAAGTTTGCAACTAGTTCGCTCGCTTTAACCAAGTGTGCAACCACTTCATGTCCTGCCCCTTGGACAAAAGCTATTTCAATACAGGTAGTTAGATATATTTGGGACACTTCAGTCTATATATTTGAACACAGTGTTACCGGGCTTTGTTCCATAATATTAATAATAAAACAAAGACGGAGTTCAATCACTGTATTCTTTATTGCATCTAGGTGTAGAGACATAGTAAATCCACTTTACATAGGCTCTGCAAATAAATTAAACATAACATATTTCCTATTAGGTTAAATTCATAACATACATACAATGCATAGAACAATGAAAACAACTATATATCATAATCCTAATATCATAGAAGTAAATCATTGCCATTTATACATATGTCTCTATATTCTTTACAAACAATTGTAATTAGCTATTAATTTAAGAATAAAATGAATATAAGATACATCAACATATTTTACACATACATGTCATGGTTATTAAGTGGCTATGTTATCAGGTTCATCTAAATCAAAGTATAAAATAAGATTACACTTACTGGTCTATGGGACCACTGCCCTTATATAGATAATACACACTATATGTCTCTCTCCACACAACACTGCTTCATCTCACTGTGATGTTAACTGCTGTAAACAATGTAATGATACATGCACAAGTGTGAAATAACAAGTTGGATAACAGACCAGTCTGACCGGCATTTCCCTTTAATAAATAAACGGCAATATCCTGGTTTAGGCCACGGAGGGGTTTGTGTTTTTTAGACTGTCATATATAATGACGACTCTTATTGTCATATCCTTGTAAACTTATCGGTTATCAGTTGCAGGTAATACAACCTACATTTAAAATGATTAACAAGTCACGTGTAATAAGAATGACTCTCTCGTATTATTATATATACTCCTGGTTTAGGCCCCGTATATAACAAGAGTTTATATATATTATACACGAGATTCCAGAATATTGTCTCTCCTTCTATTATATATACTCCTGGTTTAGACCCCGGGGTTTAAACCAGGATGATATATAATAGAAGGAGACACGGTATTACCATTGTTTTGGTTGTTGTCATTTAGTTTTACTCTGATATTCAATGTAAACAAACTTAAGAGGATGGTAAATTTCACATATTTTTATTTTCAATGTGAATTACTTCAGCAATTACTGTTTTCGCAATCATATGCATTATCATATCAAAGCTTAAATACATTCCATATCATTATGTAACAAGTTTATAAAATAGCACTATTGATTTTTTCAGACTAGCTGATAGACTACGAGGATATAATTAATATGGATCCTTGTATGAATTTCTTCAATTAATTCATGCAAAATCGTCATCTGATGACCAGTCTGATCGTAATGTCGGTAGTGATGGGTTTTTTGATTTTACAAGTTTTCATTTCTTTTTCTTTCCATCAACTTTCACCTGTACAAAGCGAGATGGGGCACACACATAACGTAAATTTTAAGTCGAAAAAGGGGCATAATTCTGTCAAAATGCTTGATACAGTTACCTCCTCCTGTATACAGGTTGGGGTCATGATGGTGAACAAGTGTGCCAAGTTTCAAAGCCATATGTCAATGGACTTTGAAAATATTTGAACTATTACAAAAACTTTAACATAAGTGGTTACGCCGACGCGGACACCAACGCCGACGTCGACACTCGGGTGACTACAATAGCTCTACTTATTCTTATCGAATAGTCGAGCTAAAAATAAGAAATGCAGAGTACCAGTTCTTGGGCACTGCACTTCTTCTTAATGAGTTCTATCATCCTATGAAGTTTCATGTCCATAGCTTTAATACTTTAGGAGAAAAGGCCTGGACAAAAATAAAGTATGAAAATTAACAAAGGGCAATAACTCAAAAAATAAGAAATGCAGAGTACCAGTTCTTGTGCACTGCACTTCTTCTTAATGAGATCTTTCACCCTATGAAGTTTCAAGTCCATAGCTTTTATACTTTAGGAGAAATGGCCTGGACAAAAATAAAGTATGAAAATTAACAAAGGGCAATAACTCAAAAAATAAGAAATGCAGAGTACCAGTTCTTGTGCACTGCACTTCTTCTTAATGAGATCTTTCACCCTATGAAGTTTCAAGTCCATAGCTTTTATACTTTAGGAGAAATGGCCTGGACAAAAATAAAGTATGAAAATTAACAAAGGGCAATAACTCAAAAAATAAGAAATGCAGAGTACCAGTTCTTGTGCACTGCACTTCTTCTTAATGAGATCTATCATCCTATGAAGTTTTAAGTCCATAGATTTTATACTTAAGGAGAAATGGCCCGGACAAATATAAAGTATGAAAATAAACAAAGGGCAATAACTCAAAAAATAAGAAGTACAGAGTACCGGTTCTTGTGCACTGCACTTCGGGTCATTATGAGAAGCATGCATACCAAGTTTGAAGTCAATCTGACTTATAATGACCGACTTATGCTCCGGACAAGCTTTAGGGGACGCCGACACCGACAACGACGCCGACAAAAGTAACCCCTATATATCGCCTTTTTTAAGGCGACACAAAAAAGCATGTGCATTGTGATATTATTATCACGAAATTGCAGGCTCAGTTTAACAGCTTGTCCCTTAGTTTTATTGCTATTCAACTTGATTGACATAAGATATTTTTAAATCAGTCAATCAATCAATCAATTTTAGATAAAATATATACAATGTAAATATTTAGCTTACCGGATTCCGAATTGGCATCTGAAAATGCAGGTTCCATTTTCTCGTTTTCTGTAATTGGACCTGTCCGTGTATCAAACAGTGGAGTGCTGTTGGTATATACTGCTGGCTTGTCAAGAGGATAGATTTCCTTGATGAAGTCAAAAAAGGAATATACGTTTCCCTTAACGACACTGCCCCACATCACCTCGGCCATGTGAGACTCCCATTGAGAAGCTGTCGTATCTGACATTCGTCTGCAAAAGGAAGTGAAATATGCGTAAAATTTTTAAGTAAAGATAGTTATTATAAAGTACATTTCCCCAGTGTCTATTCTAGGACGCGCGATTGCGCGATTCACGCTAGTATTTAACAGATCGCGCACAATTCAAAATCATGTGCGTGAAAATCGCGCATCTATAAAAAAAGTTAATAAAACCGTAAAACTTCCATCCCGCATTATATTTGGTTGTTTTGTTTACATTTACACCGAAAACCGAAGGGAGGTTACTGTAAGCTAATTATAATAATTTAGTACCGTATGGTACTGGTTACGTGAGTTGACGGAAATTAACGGAATGTTCCGTATCGACCGGAACTAGTGTGCTTAGGTCTGACAGTTGGGCGCCATTTTAGTGTAGTAAATAATCAAGAAAAATGAGGCAATTCCTAGCTTGGCTACGATCTAGACGTGAAAGATAGTTCGATTATTTGTATTGCCAATCCCTTTATAATCAATCGCGGCAGTTCTGTAATAATTTGTTTTCGTTTAAAAATTCAGGGGGGACAACTTCTGCTGCCTTAAATTAATATTATCGTTTTAAATAATTATTTCATCGGTTGAACGCCTCAGTGTAAACTTAATGCAGACGATTTAACATTGGCAGTTTATATTGTCGCCCTTTGATTTTGAAAATCGCCCCCTTTTTTGAAATAGAGGGGGGAAAATCACCCCTATTTTTCAATTCCTAGAATAGACACTGTTTCCCCCCATTTGAAATATATGTTTGCTGTTCTTGATTTGACCACTATGTAAATTTCAGTAGTATGCACTAAAGGAAACGGAATGAACCTTATATATACTCCTAGTTTAGACCCCGTGGTCTATTCCAGGATATATACGGCAACTTCAAGACAATGTTAATAAAATACAAATGTCATTCATTCCGTAAATACATAAAAAGTATAAAAATTGTATCATGATAAAAAGTAATTTAAATTTCAGAAGTAAAGCTTGAATATAATGCACTTAAGAAAACGGAATGAACCTTATATATTTACTCCTAGTTTAGACCCCGGGGTTTATTCCAGCGGCAATTCAATGTTTATAAAATACAAATGTCATTCATTCCGTAAATACATAAAATGTATGTAATAGAAAGAGCACCGAAACACGAGGTTATCTGATTTGTACGAGGGGGCGTAGCCCCCCGAGTATTAATCAGGTTACCGAGTGTTTTGGTGTTCTTTCTCTTTTGTATCATAGTCAAACATAAAAACACGTTCCCTGTTGTCACAATATGAAACCCCGGCAAAAATGAACCAATGAACGAACATCTGAATATCATATTTCTGTCGCTTTCCCTTTCTCTGCCGTCACAATATGTAAACCCCAGCAAAAATGAGCCAATCAATGGGCATGCTCTAGAGTGCGGGTAACTAATACCCGCACTCCAGTTAACGCACGGTGCATGTATATGTATACGATTTAACCCTGACACATTTTCAACAGAAAGGTCTCCGAACTATGATACAACAAGCAATTATCATAGTATTGCAAGCAATCCATAAGTCCCCTACCGGTAAGAGCCCAAGAACATTCTGAAGGGCCATTGGCCGTTCACTTAGGTTCTTATTTTAAGTAAATTTGTTAAAAAAGTTACTTAAAAGTGATCACAGGAAACAGTTTTTATGTACAGACAGACGGACTGAAGGACACTCTAAAGTTATTTTTTAAACATCCCTGTTATCAAAATATAACATTTTTAAAATCCTATCATGATTGAAGACGTTGGAGTAAAAATTACCAATTTCTCAAAAAAAAGTCTAAGTTCAAAAGGGGCATAATTCTGGAAAAAGTCTTGCTAGAGTATTGAACACTCACAAATGTTGAGTGACAATAAGAAACATTTATATGAAGTTTGAAGTAGATACATTCAGAAAAAGAAGTTATTAAAAAAAACAATGTTTTTTTCATGAAAATTTTAAGTTCAAGGGAGGTAATTCTGATAAATTTTGTGCTAGAGTTGTAAACCTTGTCACATATGGTGTGGTTGATGACAAGCAACTTATATTAAAAGTTTGAAGAAAATACCTTAAGAAATAAAGAACTTATAGTGAAAAAGCTTTAAAATTAGAATCAGAAATCTTGAAATTCAGTCTATTTGTTGCCATAGCAACCAGAATTTTCAACATAGAAAGATAAAAAAGGATGTGCATAATTTCCATACTGCCATCTACCCATATGTCAAGTTTCATAAACATATTTTCAGTACTTTTTGTGTTATCACTGGATCCAGGTTATGTGTAAAATTTGCCATATTTTCAGTCTATTTGTTGCCATAGCAACCAGAATTTTCAACATAGGAAGAAAAGAAAAAGACGTGCATAATCTCCATACTGCCATCGATCCATATATCAAGTTTCATAAAAATATTTTCAGTACTTTTTGCGTTATCGCGGGATCCAGGTTATGTGTAAAATTTGCCATATTTTCAGTCTATTTGTTGCCATAGCAACCAGAATTTTCAACATAGGAAGAAAAGAAAAAGACGTGCATAATCTCCATACTGCCATCTATCCATATATCAAGTTTCATTAAAATATTTTCAGTACTTTTTGCGTTATCACGGGATCCAGTTTTGTGGACGGACGGACTGACGGACGGACAGACGGACGGACTGACTGACGGACGGACGGACGGACAGACGGACAGACGGACGGAGGGTAAACCTAAAGTCCCCTCCGGTAAACCGGTAGGGGACTAAAAAAAAATTGTATCATGATAAATAAGTTATTTAAATTTCAGACAGGGCTGCCAACAGGAAATTGCAAAATCAGAGGAAAATACACGGGGAATCAAGGGGGGCTGTGTAAGCCCCCTTTGCGGGTCCAGGGCAGAGCCCTGGTGGGGGCCCAGGGGGTGAAGCACTATGAAGTGTCTGTACCCCATATCGTTTAGTATCAACCGTCACTGTATATTGTAGTCCTATAAATATGACGTTGCTTTGAGATATTTTTGCTTCTGGGCAAAGCAACAGGCTTGACCAACATAAACTATAACAAGCCTGTAACGTCTAATATATTGGACTATGTATATTGTACTTCCTGGTTGTACATGGCGTTCAATTAGCGGCAGCAATGTTTTCGCTCAGCGGTCATGAACAGGGTAGAGGATCAAACTGTTGCTGGCCCTTTCTACCATCCCAAACACCCACACTCGCAGTCCTTTGTGGGGATTTCCTTTATTATATTTTACTTTTCGTCCAAACAGACTCTCATCGATTTCAATTTCCCCAGATAAAGATTTGTTTTTTAATTTCCTCTCATAAAATTCCTTAAGAACCTCTCTTATGAAGCTTCCCCAGTCCACAGCTGTACTGCCGTAAGCAACACCACTAAATTTTGCTCATGTGTTAAGATAAAATCTGTCTAGGTAGGATTTCGAAAACATCATAACGTCCTGTATGGTAAGGTGTGATTTGATTTCTCAAAGAAAGAGTTCTTACACTTTGCTCATGGTCGCGATGTTTGTTACATCTTAGTACAGCCCCTGAAATATTCCTTGACCGTTTTGCAAGGGAAAGTGTTCCATTGCATCCTGGTCTATGGCAAGGCATCGGTCCATGGAGTAATCCGTTACGTACACACCAGTTAACAACGAACAAATCATCTTGCGACATAACGTGATAAAAATTCTACGGATTGTAAAAGTCCTGAATTTCAATGTTACTAGGGTCATCTTTATGGCTCCAGTAGTTGCCGACAACCCTTAGTTTCCTCTCTGAAGCCATGCTGAAGTGATGACTAGGCTGTTGCTCTTGGACCTTATATACCGTGGTCTTGGGCTGCCAGGATTTTGACAGATCATGACAAGCACCGGCCCGCCCAAATTCATTTGAGTTTGAAACAAGAGGGCCATGATGGCCCTAAGGTCGCTCACCTGTATGTAGGCCCCCGGAGCGGGGCCAGTTTAAACCCCAGGGCTTTTATTTGAACAAACTTGGAAGACACCTATAAGAAGACGTTTCATGATGTACACACTTATAATGAAAAACAATGATCTGCCCTCCCCTACCCCCGGCAGGGCCAATTTTAACCAAGGGCTTTTATTTGAACAAACTTGGTAGACACCCATAAGAAGATGTTTCATGCTAAACATCTAAGCTGTAGCTCATTGTGTTTTTTTTAAAGAAGATTTTTTAAGTTTTTACTATACACATATAGTTAAAAACAATGACACCCCTAGGGCGGGCCAGTTTTGACCCCAGGGCTTTTATTTGAACAAACTTTGTAGACACTTACTAGAACATGTTTCATGCTTAATATCTAAACTCTAGCTATTTTGGTTTTTTCAAAGATGTTTTTAAAGTTTTTCCTATACACATATAAGGAAAATCAATGACCCCCAGGGCAGGGCCAATTTTGACCCCAGGGCTTTTATTTGAACAAACTTTGTAGACACTCACTAGAAGATGTTTCATGCTTAATATCTTAACTCTAGCTATTTAGGTTTTTTCAAAGAATACTTTTTAAGTTTTTGATATACACATATATAAGGAAAATCAATGACCCCGGGGCGGGGCTAATTTTGACCCCAAGCTCTTATTTGAACAAACTTGGTAGACACCCATTAGAACATGTTTCATGCTAAATATCTTAGCTCTAGCTCTTTGAGTTCTTTAAAAGAAGATTTTTTAAGTTTTCACTATATACATGTACATATAGGGAAAATCAATGACCCCCTTGGGCGGGGCCAATTTTGACCCCAAGGCTTTTATTTGAACAAACTTGGTAGACACCCATTAGAACATGTTTCATGCTAAATATCTTAGCTCTAGCTCTTTGAGTTCTTTAAAAGAAGATTTTTTAAGTTTTTACTATATACATATAGGGAAAATCAATGACCCCCTGGGGCGGAGCCAATTTTGACCCCAGGGCTTTTATTTGAACAAACTTGGTAGACACCCATTAGAACATGTTTCATGCTAAATATCTTAGCTCTAACTCTTTTGGTTCTTTAAAAGAAGATTTTTTA